CTGCGTCCCAATAATAAGCCTACTGTTCCTTTGGGAAGAGGTCCTTTTACCCCTGTGGGAATGATTTGAACTCCCATTTCTGGAGTTAGTACTGCTCTGGCGGAGGCGCAGATGTCCAACCCTCTGCTCCCTCTGGTTTGTCTGATGAGGGATCTGATGGACAATGTGTCCTGGGCACTACCCTGATGGGGTTGCTGGGTTCCTCCAGTGCTCCGTATATTTGTGGTTTTGGGCCCCGGAGCATTGGGACCCCCTGTCCATTTTTTGGCAATGGAGCCCGATGCCTTTCTCCACGAAGGGGCCCCAGCAAACTTTCAGACTGCCAGCTGATGCCCAGCCCTGGCTTTAAATTTTCAATCCTCCTGCCTCAGCCTCCAGGTCATTGGGGTTAACATGCCTGGCCAGGATAGATCACTTTGGGAAGTAGCATTTGGAATGAGAACAATGTACAGGAACTAGTTATTGGAGAGTATTGGAAGAAGAGCTTTCTAGGTAAAGAGGTCACAGGTACAAAGACCCCTCAACATGAGAAAGTACTTGGGTATTCTGAGGAAAAGAAAGGAAACCAGTGTGAAGGGGAGTAATATAATATGAATTTGGAGACATGAATTGGAAACAGATCATGTAGGACCTTGTAGGTAATGATAAGCACCTCAAAATGTCTTTCAAGAGCAATGTCAATCTATTCAAGAGAATGATATGAACTGATTTACATTTTTAAAAAATATTCTTATTTGTCAATGGGCCTTTATTTCACTTATTTATATGTGGTGCTGAGAATCAAACCCAGTGCCTCACCCATGCTAGGTAAGTGCTCTACCACTGAACTAAACCCCAGCCTCCTGATTTACATTTTACGAAGATTTTTTTCACTAGGCTCCGTGGTTCACGCCTGTAATCCAAGCATCCAGGAGACTGAGATAGAAGGATTAGGAATTCAAAACTAACCTCAGCAAAAGCAAGACAATAAGCAACTCAGTGAGACCCTGTCTCTAAAATACAAAATAGGGCTGGGGATGCAGCTCAGTGGGCAAGTGCCCCTCAGTTGTTCAATCCCCGGTACCAAAAAAAAAAAAAAAAAAAGAAAGAAAAGAAAAATATTTTTTTCTGGAGAGTTAAACAGACCAGAGTATATTCAGTAGTGCAGGTGAGACATAACTGTTGCTAGGCTTGATTGAGAATGATGGTATTAAGATGGAAAGTAGTGGGTAGGTTTAAAATAATGGCTGGTATATAATATATGATGGACAAAGCCCTGGGTTCAACCCCCAGTACCAAAAAAAAAAAAAAAAAAAAAAAAGAAAAGTTCTCTTCAGACTGAGTTCCTTGCTGGATGTGCTGATACCTTGCCATAATCCCAGTGACTGCTGAGGCTGAGGCAGGAGGATCCCAAGTTCAAGGCCAGCCTTAGCAACTTAGACCTTATTTCAAAATAAAAAGAAAGGGGGTGCTGGGTGTGTAGCTCAGTGATAGAGTGCCCCTCCAGTACCTCTCCTCCAGACACAAAGATTGAGTTCCTCAAAGGTAGAGACTCTTTATGTTGTCCCTAGGATATAGAGCAAAACCTTGCACATCATAGGTGCTCAGAGTATAATAGTTTAATGGATAAATGAGTCATAAAGGTAACTGGAATGGATTTCTCAGGCCCCAGCCCTGGCCCTGGCTGCAAGGACTCTGGAGAGATCTCCCCTGCTCTCACCCCAACCCTCCAATCACCATGATATCAGATTGTGGTAGCCATTTAATGAGTGCTTACTATGCATCAGGCACAGCGCTAATCACCTCTAATTTTCACAATATCCTTAAGTGGTGGATCCTAAAATTGTTCTTTTTGCATTTAAAATTTTTAATTTAATTTCTAAATTGTTGTTGGAGACTTTAATTAATTAATTAATTAATTAATATATGGTGCTGAGAATTGAACCCAGTGCCTCACACATGCTAGGCAAGTACTCTACCACTGAGCCACAACCCCAGCCCTACATTTAATCTTTATTTTTTAATTTTTTAGTTGTTGATAGACCTTTATCTTTAATTTATTTTTATGTGGTGCTGTGAGCCTCACACATGCCAGACAAGTGCGCTACCGCTGAGCCTCAGCCCCAGCCCCCCTGCATTTAATCTTAAAAGCTTACATGATGTGGCTCAGGTCAGCCAGATAATATAGTCCAGCCCCCCCCCCCCCCCCCCCCCCCCCCCCCCCCACCCCACCCCGCACCCCCCCCCCCCCCCCCGCCCCCAACACACACACACACAAGCACTTTTTTTTTGGTACTGAGAATTGAACTCAGGACTCACTGGACCACTGAGCCACATCCTCAGCCCCATTTTGTATTTCATTTAGACAGGGTCTATTTAGCGCCTCACTTTTGATGAGTCTGGCTTTGAACTTGATCCCAGCCTCCAGAGCGGCTGGGATTACAGGCGTGCGCCACCATGCCTGGCTTCCAGGTCTCTTGACCACAGGAATTGTCATTTTCGGGTCTGGTTCTAGTCTCCAAAGATTTCAACCTGCCTGGATCTTGAGAGATTGTAATAAAAATTCTCCTGAGGTATCTTTCCCGCTTAATGTGCCTGAACCTGGAAGCTAAAAAAAACCTCCCTGTTCTGATCATTGTAGGCTGTACCTGGTGAAAGGCAATAGATGATGCTCCAGGAGTTCAGCCTTTTTCAGCCAGCCAGTTATTTTTCACTCAGCCAGCTGTAGAAAATGAGGTACCCAGATTTTCACAACCAATTTGTCTTGCAACTTTCTGAGCTGGTCAACCTTTTTTGAACTTTGGTTTCTTTTTCTATGAAATGGCTGATAACACTGATCTCATTAGTATTTTAGTTGTTACGATTAAATATGACGGCTAATAGCTTTAAAGCATTCAAACACAGTAAACCCAATGTAGTTGAAACTGACACTGCAGCCCCGAGGGACGGGTCTCAACGGAGTTGAAGTAGTCGGATTTGAAGTCTGGGTAGGGCCTAAAACAACGCCACAAGCGGATTGGGTCACCTAAAGGGGGCGTGTCCGGAGGGAGGAGCCAGTCTCATCCTGCCGCAGCCCAGAACTTTGAATCAGGCGCGGTAGTTTCAGCTGTAGCCAATCCTAGAACAGCATCCTCTTCCGTCAGTAGTTGCTGAGGTCCGGAGCCACGCGTCTCTCACGGAGGTCAGTTCCAGCCGTTACTGCTGGACCCGTGCTCAGCTCTTGCGTGTTTATCCGTTAAGATTGAGAGGACGGAGAGACACTCTCAGTCGCTTTCTCGGGTGTCGGGGCCAGAAGGAGAGCCTCCGCTACTCGCTCCACACATGCAGAGCAGCTCCGGCTTCACTTTCTGTAGAAGCTGCAGGCTGACACCTTGTCAGGAGTTGTAGTATCAAGATTCTGGTTCTTCTTACGCTACTTATTATAGAAGCAGGATGTTGATTTCTTGAGGGAAAGTGGGCTAGGGAGGGAAATTATCCCACAGAGTCATACTGAGAGGGTGGGGGTGCCCTTGATATCGAAAGGGGTTGAGTCCTGGCCCTTTAAACCTGGGGAGGAGGATCCGGAAGTGGGTGGGCGGGGCAAGGGCCCTGGTATATAGGAGGGCCCCAGCGGCGAGGGGTCCCTAATCTGCCATTTTCTGTCCCCTAATAAGTCTCTGGCGTCCAAAAATCCCTGTTTTCCTCACAGGTTCCATTCCGCTCACAGGTCCACCACTTGAGGGGAACGATGGCCACAGAGTCCACAGCCACTGCTGCCATCGCCGCGGAACTGGTTTCCGCCGACAAGTAAGCGGGACCATGGCGCGCTTGAGGCACTGGCCAGTCCGCGGTAGAGCTGGTGGATGGGGGCTCTGTAGGAGGATATACCAGTGGGAGGGAAGACTGGTTCCCCCCGACCTGCCGGCGTTCAGGGAGGCCTGAACAGTGTAGAAGCCCCGCTTTTGCTAAGAGTCCGCTCACTAGCGGTAACGGCTGGTGGCTGGCGCCCCCTGCCCTGCTTTTTGCGGCCGCCATCTTGCCGGGGGCAGCGGCGGCTGTCTCCATCGTCTGCCCCTCTCCTTCCTCCCTTGGCTCGGGCTGATGGTGAGGAGGCGGGGCCCTGGCGCGCTGGTCTGCCCTCACATTCCTACTGTCACCTCAGTCTAAGCGTGTTCCCTCCTGTAGTGACCCTAGACAACCCGAGAATGTAACCAATAGATTTGGCGCCAAAAAAAAAAAAAAAACACCTTTGCACGAGGAGGCTGAACCCCAGGGGCCGGATGGGCGGGGCCTCGTGGAGGGCGGGGCCTGACGCGCGTGCGTTCGCTTCCCTCCGCCGGCTCTGGAGCAGGAGGCGGAGCCTTGAGGAGGCGGGAAAACTCCATTGTTTGGGGCTACAGTGGCTGGAGCCTTAGACTTCCGTGGTGGCTCGCGGGAGGGCTTCCGGCTAGCGGGCTTTCTCACCTAGTTCGCTGAAGAGTACTGAGCGACCGATACTCCCCGCGAACCCCAGCTCCTGATGGGAACGTCGTGGTTCTTTAGACCTTGGAGGTGTGGGCAGAGAGTTGGCTTCTTAGGAGACATCCGAATGCGTAGCGGCTTCACCTGGTGGTGGGTCGAGCACTCCTCATTTCTCAGGGTTTAGTTGCCAAGTGAATAGGCTGTACGCAAGTACGACTGGAGGGAGAAAAGGTATAATTTCTTTGAAAAGGCACAGTGCCACAAAGGCATAAGCTATTTTGTAACCAGTGGACAGAAGTGCCACATCAGTTCAAGAAACAAATGTTTTCCAAACAGTAGGTCCTGATTTCCCCTGGTATTAGTGGCCTGTGTGTTTTTTTTTTTTTTTTTTTTGGAGGGGGGGGGTCTAGTTGCGTCCTTGTAAAAGTAAAGATTACTGTGATTTTTTTTTTAATGATCTATTTTTCTAAAGTTTTACACTTACATTTATAGTGATCAGAGATTCACATATCTTTATTACTCTACCTATTACCTTTTGGTTCATTTCCTAGTGGGTTTATGAAAAGCAAGGGTTCTCAAACCACCTTCAGTATCAATTAGGAACTTCAGTTTTTAGCTTCTCATTGATATATATATATATATATATATATATATATTTTTTTTTTTTTTTTTCTTTTTTATTTTAAAACAGTCTTGCTAAGTTGTTTATGGGCCTCCCTAATTTTGAAGCTGACCTAACTTTGAGGAACAGTTCCTCCTGCCTCCCCTCTCAAGTCAGTGGAACCACAGGATCAGAATAGATGGGGTTTGGGAGTTATGTCTGTTACAAAAATAATCACTTTTTATGGTGCTTATTGGACCCTTATATCAGTCAATATTCCACTTAGGAGGCTCCTCACCCCTCTAATACTAGGTGTGGGGTGTTTTTTGCAGTGCTGGCTAGGAACTCAGAGAATAGAGCATGCTGCTAGGCAAACTCTTTCACTGAGGTACAGCCCCAGGCTATGTATGTGTTTTTCTTGAGAGGTAAAAAGTGTGAACAAATTTGTGTTGTCGATATTCAGGTGTCATTTGTGTCTAGTCAAAGTTAGGTTATTAGTGAACTCCAGCCTCCTGTAAGTTGGATAGAAAATTTATGTATAGAGGCACCTACATATTTGTTTTATCAGCAACTGAGCAATTCTGAGTATTTTTTTAATTAAAGTATTATTTAATTCATGAATACAAGGTGAAGTAGTTTCTATCTCAGCAACTGAGCAATTCTGAATATTTTTTTAATTAAAGCATTATTTAATTCATGAATACAGGGAGAAGTAGTTTCTATCTCCTTTCTACAGGTGAGTAAACCAAAGGCAAGAATGGACAGATAAGTTCCAATTAAGTGGCAGGATCTGGGTTAAATCACAAAACTTCAATTTTCATTCCCTCTTCTACCAAAAACTTTTACCTGACAGAAAAATGCATGACAAGTCTAATTAATTAGTCTGAGAGAACCATGGAGGCAGTAAACCTTGGTTAAGTTGGGAGCTGTTTAGAAGTAAAACTTCTAAGGAACTGATGTTCAATGGGAGTGTAAAAAAAAGTGACTTGGACCCATTATTTATAACTTCAGTATGTAACCATTGAGATAATGAAATAAGTTTAACTTCTAAACAAGTAGAGAAAAAAAATAGGATGAGAAATAAATCTCAATTTAGAATCAGTTTTGATACCATCTTTGCTTAAGCAATGATGTTGGACTGGTCTCATCTTTTTTTTTTATATACATAATATTTTTTTAAAATAGTTTATTTGTTTACTTTTATGTGCTGCTAAGGATCAAACCCAGTCCCTCGCATGTGCTAGGCAAGCACTCTACATCTGAGACACAATCCCAGTCTGGGTCTCATCATCTTTTAAAAAGCCTGAGTTTAGCCAGGCACAGTGGAGCATGCTTGTAATCTTAGTAGCTCAGGAGGCTGAAGCCAGCCTCAGCAATTGAGGGAGGCCCTAAGTAACTCAGTGAGACCCTGTCTTTAAATAAAGTATTAAAAAGAAGGCTGGGGATGTGACTCAGTGGTTAAGTGCTCCTGGGTTCAATCCCTGGTACCAAAACAAAAACAACAACAACAACAAAAAAAAAAACACTAAGTTTGGCTTCTGTCCCTTACGCCATTTAAATAACGTTGCTTAAGGTAATCAATGATTGTCTAAATGCTAAATCAATTCCTGTCATTCTTAGCTTTCTAACTAGTTATTAACCTTTTTCTTTATATTAAAAAAATACAGTTTGAATTATAGAGGTAGGAAGGAATAATAAAACTCAGAAAAGTCTTATGTAATGCATTTACTTTTGACTTAGTGGTCTGGTGTCATATTTTAGAAGAGAAATCATCTAGATGAAAATTCATTGTTTAGTGCAGTAATCTTTGGAGTTTGCCATTTCTATTTCCACAAGTGGTTTGTTCCATCTTTGTTTGTTTATTTGGTACCAGGGATTGAACTCAGGGGCACTTAAATACTGAGCCACACCCCCAGCCCTTTTTATTTTATTTTATTTATTTATTTTTTTAATATTTATTTTTTAGTTTTCGGCGGACACAACATCTTTGTTTGTATGTGGTGCTGAGGATCGAACCCGGGCTGCACACATGCCAGGCGAGCGTGCTACCACTTGAGCCACATCCCCAGCCCTATTTATTTTTATTTTATTTTATTTTTTTTAGAGAGAGAGAGAGAGAGAATTTTAATATTTATTTTTTAGTTATCGGCAGACACAACATCTTTTGTTTGTATGTGGTGCTGAGGATCGAACCCGGGCCGCACGCATGCCAGGTGAGCGCGCTACCGCTTAAGCCACATCCCCAGCCCCCCCTTTTTATTTTTTGAAACAAGGTCTAACTAATTTGCTTAGGGCTTCCCTCATTGCTGAGGCTGGCTTTGAACTTGCGATCCTCCTGCTTCTACCAGTTGCTGGGATTGCAGGTGTGTGCCACTGTGCCTGGCTGGTTTTTTCCATCTGCGTTAGGGTTTGTGTTGATACTTACTAATATGCTGGGTTTTTTTAAATTTGTTTTTTGTATTGGAGATTGAATCCAGGGGTGCTTTACTGCTGAACCAAGTCCCCAGCCCTTTTAATTTTGAGACAGGTCTCACTAAATTATTTAGGGCCTCACCACAATTGCTGTGGTGGCCTTGAATTTGTTATACTTTTGCCTCAGTTTCCAGAATTGGTGGGATGGGCATGTGCCACCACACCCAGTCTATTTTGCTGTTTAAGAACTGTGAAGCTTCATGTATGGGATTATGACAATTTAATTCATTGTAGTTGGGATATATTTGTGTGAAAGATTTACCTGTTTGACCAGTGGTGGTGTTTTTTTTGGGGGGCGGGGGGAGTGGTATGGGGATGAACTCAGGGGCACTGAACCACTGAGCCACATCCCCAGCCCTATTTTGGATTTTATTTAGAGACAGGGTCTCACTAAGTTGCTTAGTACCTTGCTTTTGCTGAGGCTGGCTTTGAACTCCTGATCCTCCTGCCTCAGTCTCTGGAGCTGATGGGATTTCAGGCTCTGTGCCACCATGCCTGGCCAGGATTCTGTTATTGCTATAAAAGAAGAGAAAAATAAATATTGAAATACAAATAACTACCAATCTATCACAAAGTCTCAAGATTTTATATGTCGACATTTATTTAATTCTTTTCAGTATTTCTTTTTACCCCTAACTTTCTTTTATTTTGGGGGGGATCAGAGATTCAAACCAGGGCCTCACACAAGCTAGGCAAGTGCTCTACATCCCTAGGCCCTCATTTTACCCCCCACTTTTTTTTTTTTTCAGTACTGGGGATTAATACCATCATTTTCACTCAAGCCTAGCAGCTACTGCATATACTCTGGTCTGCTTAACTCTCCAGAAATTTTTTTTTTTTTTTTTTTTTGTAACAGTGATGAACAACTGAGGGGCACTTGCTCACTGAGCTACTCCCCAGCCCTATTTTGTATTTTATTTAGAGACAGGTTCTCACTGAGTTGCTTAGTGCCTTGCTTTTGTGAGGCTGGCGTTGGGATTATAGGCATGTGCCACTGTGCCTGGCTTAACCCTTGCTTTGATGGTGTGGAGGACACTATATTTGTGTAAATGGGAAGAGGGTGCCATAGTTGGACTGAATAAAAATTATACTAATGGGAAGAGGGTGCAGTTGGACTGAATAAAAATTATACTAAGAAGATTGGATTTAATGAATTGATACTGGTAATCTCAAGATGCTTTTCAGAGGTAAGAGAAGGAAGTAGGGAAGAAAAATAAATGGAATAAGTGTGCTAGAATAATTTCTAAATATGATAATTCTATCTTCAAAACTG